AGGCGGTTAACATTCAGTTTTAGCTGGCAACATATGCGAAAATCGTGTGTACGATTTTAGTCTGTATCTCTGGCACGGTAACGCGGCATGATCCGAGGCCGCTCGCCGCAGATTGCACTTTATGTCTTCCAATCAACAGTCTACGCCGCCCTTATATACTAACTTTCACTATAATGACCGTATTGCGGCACGGGAATCGCAATCTTCCGAACTAGGGCCATTCTGCTACGGCTAGAACGATTTCCTACGGTTTGAGTTTGGACAAAAACGAAAATAACACGCTGGTTTTGCGCAACAGTGCTAAGTTTCTTTTCTTTAGGATGTTTCGCATATCACGTGGAACGCATCAAGCCCCGCCTTAATTTGTGATTTCGCATGAATGGGGCGTACAACGAACGTGAGGCTGACTCCTGACCTACTTGCTGAAGCCTGTTGACTGTTTCGTAATAATGAAAATGGACGGCCGATGCCATTCGCATCGAAGAGGCAGAACATTTCTGCCATTTCGACTCCGCTGTCGCAGTCGAATCGCGTCAGCAATTCGCGTCATTCAGTAAACATTTTCGGCAACAAAAATCTCGCCTTCGGGAGCCAATGTACATTAAGTCACAGCCCGGCCAAGTCTCTTGCGATCAATTTTGGATATCCTGCCCCAATGTTTACTGCTATCTTAGTTAAAGGTGCTAGTCATGCTTTCACTGTTATTTAGGAGGAAACGTAAAAAATTGTGTATTCGCAATATTTCCTCTTCCTCTCTAGATAGTATGCATTTCCAACAAATTTTGGCTTCTTTTGCCCATTATAAATATATTCATTTGATATAAATTTCATAATAATTTATACATTTTTCAGTCGGATCGCTATGATAGCCCGTTATGAACTTCTATATAAATCCTCTAGGTATGAATATTGACGGATTTTTTGATGACCTTGGCTTGCCTATTAATTCACCTCGCAATTCTTTCTTTGCTTTGCTGAGATTTTAGATAACCTATAGATTTGTTTTGTTTCAATATAATTATAATCTTTTTGGATTCAGCTAATCTGGGCTAAGACGACCAGGCTCTCGACTGTTAAACGTCGTATGAACAGTAAGCAATGTGTGTTAAGCGAGATTCTGGTACTTGTGGCTAATTCGAGCATTGACTGAGCGATTTTTTATAGTATATTATACATCTAATTTCTAGAATAGTTCGTCCATATAAATCATTATATCTTCTAAAACTAAGCAGTCGCTGACCGCTGTGGGACGTGCGCCGGCGCTCGATTTGGCGCACGTCTCACTGCCGGACAGCGCTTCATACTTGACATCCCGCGGCTCTCGTGCCGCATATTCGCGGAATCGCGTCTCATCGCGCGCAAGACGTCTTAGGATCAACAGCAAGGCTGTGCCAGCAATTCTTGTTATCATGTCTCTCTGGATTGCGGGTGTATACGACTCGAGAACGATTTCGCTACGAATCACGTATGCTAGGCGAATGTAACCTACTGTGCTGACGATTTTATCTCAAGTTGGTTCGCAGTTATGGTAGTAAATCGTAGGTATTCTAAGGTAGATAAAATGACGTATTTCCCTTGTTTATTGAAGTCACATCTCCTTCCCTAGTTGTTACTCCCCGATGTCGATTGTAGCATGTCGTGCGGCATCAACTCAGTCAGCTAGTCCAAAGTTTTGCCAAACAAACACTACAAAAATAATAGACATTTGACATCATTTAACAGAAGTTAAAATAGTATATCTTCTAAGGGTTTATATCATTCACGAACCTTTGTGCAAGTGGATCCCTTCCAGTTAGTTTTTTTATGTTTCGCCCGACCAGGCTGTGCGACGGATTGTCTATACAGATTGTACGGTATCCTAACCCTAGCGATACCGTTTCTCGGAGCTAGGTAGTATCTTGCGGTATCTTGGTAGTATCTTGCAGTAGCTTGGGGTAGTATCTATGTGTGATGTGTACATTCACGGCCACGCTGTATACTTTATGAAGTACTATTGCAACTGCAATTTGTTCATGGAATTAGTGCCTAGTAGTCTGTATAACTATATATATGATATAAATGTTTATGTTACATAAACATACGTTTATAGTGGATATATCGATCTATTGGCTGTGATAAATATTTGTTATTAATTTCCTGCCAGGAGATAGAAGCAGACAAACGGGCAGCACTTGGACAAGTTCAGAGTGCAAGGTGTAGGAAGGAAGAATGTAAATTATTTAGTAATTTACATAAACGGAAGAGTAGCCAACCTACAGTAGTTGGTGGAGTCAGTAATGCCAGGATGTGCCAATTGAAACAAAGGGTGAAGGTACCTGTTATATTGATATAATTATTGATTATAATTGATAATATTTCATTCATTCATTCATTAAATCATAATTATACTGATTTAACTGACTCCACCCCTCACCAAGGTGTGGGGTGGATATAGAAGGGCAGGAAGACTATATAGTCTTGTGTACGCCCCCATCTAAAACAACTTGGCCACCTGTCCGTTGAAAATGGACTCTGCATTTACTGCCTCTTTTGTGAGACCATTCCAGTGCTTGAGGACCCGTACACTAAAAAAATATTTTCCTACATCCAACCTAGAAAGTGGAGTAAACAATTTGAAATTATGGCCCCTTGTTTTATTGTAATTAGACATGGTAAAAAATGTTGTTGAATCTACTTCTCCATGACCATGAATTAGCTTGAAAGTCTCGATGAGGTCCCCCATCATGCAATCTCTGTTGTTCTAATTCGATATAAGTCCTAATTTTGTTAATCTCTGCTCATATGGAAGGTGGTGGATTTCGGGTTATATTGCATTTAATTATAATTTTATGATATCAATATGACTCATAATGACATATAAAATTACACATGTGGAATCAATTTTCATTATGGACTAGTGTAGTTTAGCAACTCACCGCATTTATAGCTCTTTGTTTTCCCAAAATTGATTATAGCACCTTTTGACATGTGAAACTGAAAAGCAATCTTAAAACAGGAAAAGAAACATGATGCACATCCTGAAGTATCTGAATCTACATTTTTATCGGATATAAAGCTTCAACCTGCCTCAAACCCAAACCCACTCACGAATGACAGTGGCCAGTGCCACCAAAAGGAAGAGAAATTCGTGATGGTATGCATGCAGTGGCTTACTTTTGGAGTGCTGAAATTGGTGGAAGAGCATGCATAAACATGATTTCAAGATGCAAATATAACTAGATGGTATACTAGATTAGAATGCTCGCATTCTTATGTAGATTATGTTCAAACAGTCAAAAAGGAACTATGATCTACACAACGACCCAATGAGGATTGGAAAACTGGACGGAAGGGAAGGCAGGTCTTCACATCGCTGTGTTAGAAATTACGGAGGTGTGGACTTCAATAACACCCTGCTGAGGATGGACGAGAGAAGACAGCGTTGTGCTGATGAGGTATGCACAGTATCATTCCATGAAGAATTGTTGGTAAAAAATCAGGAACTATTGTATTGGTGGTTCTGCTCATCCCCAGCTAGTGTATAAATGTTGAGGCAGTATTTGGCCTCCTAATGACCAAGTGACACCCATTTCTGTACATTCCATGCAGAGAACTCCTTACCCCAAAAGTAACAGAGAATTTGAGATGGTGATGAATGGAAGAGAGAGGATCAATCACTCTGAGTGGGTGAAGGAAAGAGAGCAGTTCGATATGGAGAGGGCTACCAGATATCTTCTGGCAGGTCCACGACCGTGGGACTTGGACAAGATCGACAATTAGTCTCACAAGGCTTGTATGAGCTTAGTATTAACGGCATACAACTTGGGCCTAAAAAAGGCGTTTGTTTCCGCTAACGAACTGAAAAAAAATTGGACACGGTAGGCAGTCAAAACTTTTTATCAAATATTTTTTTTTGTATTCTAACAATACTTGTTTTATAACAGCCCATGGAATGACTTCAGTCTCAAGAGATTCAATCCGGCGATGTCCGACATCTCACTTACTTTACTTGTATCCGTTTGTTCAGTGTGTATGAGAACAAAAATGTTCTCCATTTTTAGTTCACTATCGATTGTCCTAATTTGTTTTCGCTTGATGCCGTGGACACACACGTCCAAATACAAGGCACCCACTACAGAGGTCGCCATTGTTGTTGTTGTTGTGCTTTTTTATATTCGAGCACCCGATCGTTTTCGTCGGAATTTCTACCGGAAACGGTGCGCAGCGATGCGTAATGAATCAATGCATTCACCGATCGATATCACATTGGCTTTTTTTGGCCAATCACATTAAATATAAAAAGCTTCGACTTGGCGGTTTAAAATGGATTCGGTCAGGTTAGCAGAAACAAACGTCTTTTTTAGGCCTTACAAGGCCAGTTGCTTTGGACAGCAGTAGCTCAGGCAGTAGAATCTGTGATAGACGTGGAGATAAGGGGTGAAAGGTCTATATGCAGATTGTGCATTATATAATTGGCTACATAGTAAACATTTCATTCCTGATAAAGATCTATATCATAATATGGTGATTCTCTTTGAGTGATCATGAATCATGTATCATATCATCACACGTCATATAATCTGTTCATACAGTATGCACTCAAAAGGTAAGTCCACTCGTGATGAAAGTATTTTTCTTATATATTTGTACTAAGTGTTTTTTTATGTGAAGAGGCTGATCTAATTTATCAGCTGCTAGTGATCTCACTTCTACATTGTGTTATTACGTTTTTGATATTATACTAATAAAGCATTCTGTACGTTCATTTCAAGAATTCTCAGAACAGTTTACAAGTGACAAGGGCAGTTTTGCCCTTGTAGTGTTGGGTATTGTAGTAATGTAGTGTCATTTGAGTCCTGTATGTAGCAGTAGTTTCCACTAGCTATTAACCTGCAAAAAAAACATTTCATTCCTGATAAAAATCTATATCATAATATCAGGAGTAAGATAATATAGAATCTATATTCTATATTATCTTACTCCTGATAATATGGTGACTCTTCGAGTGATCATGAATCATGTATCATATCATCTGTGCATACAGTATGCACTCAAATGGTAAGTTAATTCGTGATGAAAGTAATTTTCTTTTATATTTGTACTAAGTACCGAGCACAGCACCGAGTTAACAATAAAAACCAGTGAGATGACATGTTGCAATGTTGCCTATCTACTATATATCTATATAGACACGAATGAAAAATATAAACAAGTGCCGCAGAGCGACAGCGCTCAACTGACGCTACTGTAGCCGGGTATTCTTCTGATAAACTCACTGGCAACCGAATCAAGTGCGCCCTCCCGTCACCGCGTTCGTGCTCAGAGCATATATCTAGGATACTACTAATACAGATCTAAAATCTATGATACTTGATAGGCTTTGCTATACTGGTAGTACAGTAATAAAGATACAACTGTGTAACTTTAATGACCGCGCTATATTAACATGTTATCATGGATATGCGTCGAGCGCGAGCGTAGTGGTGGTGGTGAGGGGAGGGTAGGGGGAGTGGGCTCTAATAGCAAAAGCAGTTCAGTCCTTTGTTAACGGTCAACAAATCCATGTCTAACCCTCCTCTTGAGGGTCAAAAGGTTATCAGATACTTACTCTTCGCACGTCAGCGGAAAGTACAATTCATTGTCCTTTCAATAAAGTGATAAAAATGGTAGGTCAGCGCTGAAACAAAAAAGTTTTGCACTCGGTCCGTTAGACCATGTCCTCAGAAAATTTATGATATCTGACCTTTCCCCCACTGCCCTTTGACCTGTGACCAGTCACCTCCAATTTCGCGCTGGTGATGGGGTTCCTCCGCATCACACTATACATCGAATATTAAGAGCATAGTTCAAGCCGTTGATATTTGTGCCGCAATTCCGTATTTTCTCCTATACCTTGAGTTAAGGGGAAAATGTTCCCCCTCCATTGACACCTTTTGACCTTTGACACTTGACCCCCCAAATTTGCCATGCCGAGTCCTTTTCGTGATCCCTCCCCCCAACATCCCCAATATCAAGACCGTCTGTCGAGCGGTAAAGATTTGTGCCATAACTTCACGGACGGACGGACGGACTTTTATGCGATTCTACAAGCTGCATCTGACTTCGTCAGCTGAGCTAAAAAACAATATTGCTATCACATAGTAAGGTCCAAGAAATGAAAAGAAATTAGGCAAGCAATTAAACAAATTCAGCTGAGAGCAATTATGAGACGAAGAGGCAATCTATATACAAAAGATATTTTAATAATACATTGAAGACAACATGATGTTAGAACAAATGTAACCAGCACTGTCACATGTGGACACTCCCACGAAACTGCCACTTCCCAGTATTTCATATTATCCAGTGTTTCTGACAACATTCTGTGTAAAATATATCGATATTTATACAATTTGTACATTCTGTTCTTATAAATGATAGACAGTACCTTTCTCAAGCACAATGCTACTAATACTATAACTGACAATATAGGTTAACGGCTCATATGTTAAATTGTGTTTCGAAGCATTCAATTTATTGAAGCATTGTTGGGGAGTGATCCTGTATGAAGTAACACAATCCTAAGAACATATTTTCACTATAAAGCAAAAACACGCTATGCCACTTCTCATACTCACGCTAAGCCGTGTCATACTACGACTGATGAAGAAATCTGCGTGCACCTACATGCACACGTGCCTGACGTTCATAGGTGAGACATGGACGCACATGCAGCACGCGCGCCTATTCCGACAGGCAAGGGCGAGGAAGTCGGCAGCCGTACGTCGACATGGCCTCTGTGCGCCTTAACACCTGGTGACCGGGTCACGCGTCGACCACCTTCTCTGGCTCCTTGACTGCCACCTCATCCTCTTCCTTGACTGCCTCCTCCCCACCTCCTTCCTTGACCGCCTCTTCGTCCTCTTCCTGGACCGTCTCCCCACCTCCTTCCTTGGTCGTCTCCTCCCCACCTCCTTCCTTGACCGTCTCCTCCCCATCTCCTTCCTTGATCGTCTCCTCATAGCCTTCCTTGACCGTCTCCTCCCCATCTCCTTCATTGATCGTCTCCCCTTCCCCCTCCTCTGGATCTGCGTCGGCCACCTGCGTGGGAATGTCATTGGAAGCCTGCTCCTCCTGCTTCTTCCTCCACGCCTTGGCCATTGCGAGCAGCTTCAGGTTGGGCATGGCTGCCTCGTCACTCGGGAAGATGTAGTCAAAGTACTCCTCCCAGCCAGCATCCGACTGCAAACGACAGTAGAGTGAATGCTAGGCGGTGCAGGAGACAGTAGAGTGAATGCTAGGAGGTGCAGGAGACAGTAGGGTGAATGCTAGGCGGTGCAGGAGACAGTAGGGTGAATGCTAGGAGGTGCAGGAGATAGTAGGGTGAATGCTAGGAGGTGCAGGAGATAGTAGGGTGAATGCTAGCGGTGCAGGAGACAGTAAGGGGTGAATCGCTAGGCCGGGCAAGGGAGACAGTAGGGTGAATGACCTAGGAGGTGGCACGGAGACAGTAGTGGTGAACTGCTAGCGTGATGGAGACAGTAGGGTGAATGCTAGGAGGTGTGGCAGGAGATAGTAGAGTGAATCTTAGGAGGTGGCATGGAGGAGTAGGTGTAATGCTATGGGGTGCAGGTAGATAGTAGGTGGAATGTAGGAGGTCAGGATGATAGTAGAGGTGAATGGCCTTAGAGGTGGCAGGAGACAGTAGAAGTGAATGCTAGGAGTGGCAGGACGACGAGTAAGAGTGAATGCCCTAGAGGTGCAGGAGAACAGTAGGCGTGCATGCTTGTTGAGAGGTGCAGGCAACAGTAGAGTGAACACGGAGGTGCAACGGAGATAGTAGAGTGCAATGCTAGGCAGGTGGCCAGGAGACCGTAAAGGGTGAATGCTGTAAGAGGTTGCAGAGATAGTAGGGTGGAACGCTGTGAGAGGTGCAAGGAGACAGTAGGGTGAATGCTGTGAGAGGTGCAGGAGACAGTAGGGTGAATGCTGAGGCGGCTGCAGGAGACAGTAGGTGTGAATGCTATGTGGTGCAGGAGAAAGTTAGGGTGAATGCTAGGAGGTGCAGGAGAACAGTAGGCGTGAATGCTTGTGAGAGGTGCAACGGAGACGTAGCGTGAATGCAGGAGTGCAGGAGAACGTACGTGAATGCTAGGTGGTGCCAGGAGATAGTTAGGTTGTGAATGCTTAGGAGGTGGCAGGAGATAGTAGGCGGAACGCTAGGCAGTGGCAGGAGACTAGAGGGTGAATGCCAAGGGATGTGCAGGGAGACAGTATGTGGTCGAATGAGAGGGCGCGAGACAGTAAGGAATGCTAAGGAGGTGCAGAGAGATAGTAGAGTGAATGCTGTGAGAGGTGCAGGAGATAGTAGGGTGAATGCTAGGCTGCAGGAGACAGTAGGGGAGAGCGCTTAGGTGCAGGAAACAGTAGGCGCGAACGCTGTGAGAGTGCAAGAGATAGGTAGGCGTGAATGCTAGGAGAGGTGCTGGGGATGGTAGGGTGATTGCTATACGGATGTGGCAGGTATAAATACAGTTGGGTGAACACTGGATAAGGGCAAGCATGACAGTATGGGTGGACACTGGGCTAAGGGCATGCGTGACAGTAAGGGTAAAACTGGGATAGGTGCCGGAATACAGTTTTGTGAATGCTGGGATCAGGAGGCAGAGACGGTGAACTGCTGGAATGAATAGAAAGACTGCTGGTTAAAAATTTACTCGTATGATAACAGGCAGGTGTCGTTGCATATACCAAGTAAGAGATCAACATCTGCACTAAAACCTCGTGTGGGCGTGTGAATAACTAAATGGCCCACACACAGCAGCAGCCAGTCCACTAAAGACATGGTCTCATAACAGGAGGACTGAACAATTTCAAAGCAGACTTCAAAGGACATTTTATCTGGAAATTCAAGACATTTTATCGGAATTGCATACACGAGAACAAAACATAACCTGGCATTATTTATAATACCACACATTCTTAATCAACTGTCGACTCTAAAACTTACGTGGATCACATTAATAAACCCTTTATACACACCTGTCACCTCTACAACATACCTTGATTTACTGATTGATTTTAGTGACTTACTGTAATTGTGATTATCATTTAACTGTCTATAGCTTTTTAGCTCATTTAATGCAATTTTTATTGAGGTTTGCACATTTATTGATGGTACAAAATTTCTTTTTATTAGCAGGCAAGGACTCTTTCTAAAAATCAGGACATATTCAGAAATTCAAAGATTTTCAAGCAGCAAAATCAACATTTACTAAATCAACGTACTTTTCAAGGACTGTGCGAACCATGAAGAAACAAGTTCTCACCCCATCTTCTGTCTGCACCTTCCTTCGCTTCTTCACTCTCTTCGGCATCATGTTCTCAACGTCCGCCTTCGTCTTCTCGTCCCCATGCTCCACCTGGTGGGAAATAGTGCAGATCACTTATTCAGACGTGCCAAGAAACGGAAGCACCTCGTAACTACGATTAGCTGCCGATATAGTCTGGTAAATGCGAGGTCACGTGCGGTTATGACTACAAATCAGATCGGGTCTTCTCCGGTCGACGTACAGTCTGCACGATGTCAGGTTCAAGGTCAGCAAGAGTACAGGTCACTGTTCAGGGTCAGCATGAGGTCAGGTCACTGCCAGGTCAGCACGAGGTCAGGTCAATATGCAAGGTCAGCACAAAGTTAGGCTGCTGTTCAAAGTCCAGATGAAGTAGGGTGTGTGCACGAATTTGGGGACTACAGGCGAGGTTGCGCGAGGTTGCCTATACACGTAAGGTAACACAAACCGCGCGGGGGCAAGCTCCTACCTCAAACTCCCGCCACGATTCGAGCAGCATCAGTCTCTCCTCTTTCTCGTCGGAACTCTTCATCGCCTTGTTGGCCTCAGCATAGACGCCGCGGCAGAACGACACGTCGTCAGGATTCACTGACAGCTCAAACTGCGCGAAGCTGATCCAGACCTGCACAAGTAAACGCACACGATTCTATGACGCGAAACTTAATTGTTAAACTCAGCAAAGAAAGTGCGAGTAAGAAAGACTGTCTAGAGCAAAGATGTTCTATGGATGGGGTGGGCTTCCAATCATTATTGTTTGTAGCTGCAAACCCTTTCGTCTTGGGTGCTAGATTAGTGTCGAACAATGACCAACAATATAGCAAATTATGGCCTGTCACCTGCTGTCTAACTGATGGTAGCGATTACAGCAATGAATGATTTGAACGTTGAATTGACAAACACACAGTTCACGCATGAATACCAATGAATACCGTCCTTACACAGCAGACGGGCATAGGTTTCCCTGTAGACGTGCTTGCATGACCAACCAGTACATACCAACACATTCCCTAACATTAAAACTACATGGCTAAAACATTTCGGTGAATGTGTGTTGATACCCGGTCGTCTGCATAAAATGATCACTAATTTGATGCAATTCTACCAGCCTACTTCAATAACCAATCAAGATATACCTACATGCACGCCTAGAAAGTTCCCACTTGGCACGAAATCCGCGACCGTTTGGTAAAGCTGGGCTCGAAAACGGGGCAACTACGATCAGAACTCATGCCAGCTCTGCTCGCGGCTGCTCCGACGCCCCCGCGCGCACCAATTAAACATGCGAGCGTGCCGGGAAGCGCCGCGTGGCGCCACCACTCACCTTAACATGCTGTGTGCGCTCGAGCAAGCGTCTGTACAGCGCCCTCGTGCGAGCGTATTCATCAGCCTCGATCTCAAAGTCGATGTATGATTTCCAGAGCACCTCGGGCATGTCGAGACGCGGCTGGCTAATGGCGAGCTCATAGATGGCGCGCGCGCGCTCCTGATCGCCCAGTATCGTCTCCAGCTCGGCAAACTACGAGTAGAAACAAACGTTGTGCAAATCTAAACCTAATTTAAAACTAAATCCGGATCCCAGGATCGTCTCTAGCTCAGTAAACCACGTTGGTAGAAACAACGTTGTGGTTAAAGCAAATCTAAACCTAAATCTCAACTAAATACGTATCCAAATCGAAACTAAATATAACTTTAAACTAAATCTGTATCAAGCGTTATACTGGTTGATAACCGTGCCAGTCGTACTCACTGGCGTTGGTATCAAATTATTAATTAATTAACAATTTCCTGCACATGGGAAAACAGCGCCTGCAACCATTGCACATACGCTGAACGACGATCCACATATATGACATACGTATACACTGACACAACGCATGCGCCCACATACGAATAATACTTAGACAGTTCATGAGAGCAAATGCACGTTCCAGCATTCGTGCAATCGTTATTGGTGCTGAAATTACACGGTGCACGGTGGGTAACGGTGGTCACAGTTCACGGCCAGCAAGAAAACGTCAACTTACGAAAACAGTCCCCGTAACAATTCATAACGCAAAGTAAAAACAGCGTAATCAGCCACTTCGGTATGATTCATACATTAGCGCGACGTCCACGGTAGGCTCACACGCTATCATAAACGTACTCACACATGAACGCACGCATAGGCACACATACACGCTTACATGCACAGACACGCATACAAGAATACAAGCACACACACGTACGCGCACGTACACATACAATCACGCGTGCTCAAACGCATGCATGCACACACATTCATGCGTGGACACAACATATATTTAATAGCCAGCTCGGCGACAGGTCAATCGTAACACGGGCCACACTCTCTAATAACCCACTTCCTCCCAACTGTCCCAGTTTCTCTCATTCAGTCTACACGCATCCATAACGCCAACTAGCACGAACAAGCGTACGAGGGACAAAACCCGCCGCAATAACCATTCAGAAACTCTACGCTTAAGCACGCCGGTCATATCTAACGACAGCTGCATTCCTTCTTCTCTGTTTCCCTCACATTTGTCAACTAACAGCATTCAAGAGAAGAGAGAATGGTCTTGTTAACATTCGTTAGACGGCACACGTTCCACGCAATCGCAGCTAGAAGCATGTCGAGATTACAGCTCCAAGCGTGTTGAGACCGCAGCTCCTGGCGTGTTGAGACTGCAGCTCCTGGCGTGTTGAGACCGCAGCTCCTGGCGTGTTTGAGACCGCAGCTCCTGGCGTGTTGAGACCGCAGCTCCTGGCGTGTTGAGACTGCAGCTCCTGGCGTGTTGAGACCGCAGCTCCTGGCGTGTTGAGACCGCAGCTCCTGGCGTGTTGAGACTGCAGCTCATGGTGTGTTGAAACTGCAACTCACGACATGTTGAGACACCGCGCCGGCTACGACTTGCTCACCGAACGCTAACAGCAATCGAAACGACTGTGAGCAAAGACTGGGTGCAAAGACTAGGTGCAAAGACTGAGCAAAGAATGCGTGCAAAGACTGCGAGCAAAGACTGGGTGCAAAGACTAAGCAAAGACTGCGTGCAAAGACTGGGTGCAAAGACTGGGTGCAAAGACTGGTGCAAAGACTGGGTGCAAAGACTGAGCAAAGACTGGGTGCATCGCGCGTGTCGCATGCTGCGGCGCTCGCAGCATAGCCACCGACCGCCGCTCGACCCGAGGACGCAGGAAGACAACAGATGGCGCTGGTGAAAGTCCCGTGGCGGCACGCCGCAGCAATCAGCGTGATGCTTCTGCTGGCGGGTTCATGCTCGTGGGCCGGGTCAGCGAGGCCGTGCGAGCGTCGCGCCGCACACAGGCTGCAGGTTCGTTGACACGATCCGGAGTGTCATAATATAGAATTTGATATTAGTCTAGTCATTTAGTGTCATAATATAGAATTTCATGTTAGTCTAGTCATTTAGTGTCATAATATAGAATTTGATATTAGTCTAGTCATTTAGTGTCATAATATAGAATTTCGTGTTAGTCTAGTCATTTAGTGTCATAATATAGAATTTCATGTTAGTCTAGTCATTTAGTGTCATAATATAGAATTTCATATTAGTCTAGTCATTTAGTGTCATAATATAGAATTTCATGTTAGGCTAGTCATTTAGTGTCAAAATATAGAATTTGATATTAGTCTATATTATGACACTTCTGATACGATCACACACACAACCGTGCGCACTTGCACAGTTAATTCCACAGGCCTGCGTGTAAGTTGCTCGGAATTGTTCCTACTTTTTCATTATCATTCTCCTCTTCTTCCCCTTCCCGTTTCCTCTCCCTTTTCCCTTCTTCTTCTCCTCCTCACTCCCTCCTCCTCCTCCTCTTCTTTTTCCTCTTCTTCTACTCATTCCTCTTCCTCCTGTTCTTGTTGTCCTTGTCTTCTCTCCCCCCTCCTCTTTCTGCTCCTCCTCCTTCTCGTAACTTCATCATTCTCTCTTCCTTTTCTTCCTCTCGCAAACCGCTAGGAATTTCAGACAAGGTCTATTTAAACAAACGTCATTTTTAGTTGGGAAATGACGCATACACACTGTTTACATCTGTGATACAAAATCAGGTGGATTCAAGATTTACATTTTGAAAGGAATAGTTTGCCATCAGGAAGTAATACCAGAAAACAGCATACATTCGGTGAGGGTTATAGTGAAAATGTTTTTGTAGGGGTAGAGTTGCTTAAATAGCTACGGCCTGTTGACGAGTTAACTTCTATAACAAAGGATTTAATAATAACAAGTGCCACGGAGCGATAGCGCTCATCTAAACGTCTACTGCGGTGACTCTGTGGTGGAGGTGGTGGATCACGTAAACCCTGTTAGTCCCAAATGTGTTCACATACACGCCGAAACAGTGGAAATGCACAGGGATGGTATCAGGAACCTTCTCAAAGAATGTTCTTGGGATCATTATGAAAGTTGCCACGAGATGGCGCGTACGTTTAAAGTGTCTTCAGATTAAAGATGGAAGCTCCCATCGTACGTGGTAGCAAACAACTATTTGCAAGACAGAATAGGTACCATTCATCCATTTACCTACGCAAGCCTACAGGCTGCAATAGAGAGCCTGCCACCTGTAACCAATTAACGCAGGCAAAAACTACACGCAGTACCACCACCACATGCACTGGCAGTGGCCACTGGCATGGCATACGTTACATGTAACATACTGACAGTACAGAATGCCATGAAATTAATATGATTTAAGGAGCATAAACCTTCTTCAACCAAATTTAGCTTTGAAATTTCACTTGACATTGTAGCCTCATACATCCAGGCATGTATAGATTCTACTAGCAAACCCGGCAGTCAAATTCTTTCTAACAGACAGTAAACAAATCCATGTTTAACCCTCCTCTTGAGGGTCAGGGTATGACGCATTTCAGCAGAAGGTACATTTCATGGTCCTTTCAATAAAGCCATAAAAATGCTAGGTCACCGCTGAAACAAAAACGTTTTTCAATCGCTCCGTCAGACCATGTCCTCAGAAAATGTCTAAAATCTGCCCTGTGCCCATTGACCTTTGACCTGTGACCTCCAATTTCGGCACCAGTGATGGCCTTTCCTACCATGATGCTATACACCAACTATCACAAGCCTAGGTCGAGCCGTTTAGATTTGTGCCGCAATTGTGCATTTCCTCCTATACCTAAAGTTAAGGAGTGAATGTTCCCCCTTCTTTTACACCTCTTGACTTGACCTTGACCCCCAGCTTCGACATCCCAAACTCGTTTTCGGATTACCCCACGTCCGCGAATACCGTGACCGTACGTCGAGGCTTAAGATTTGTGGCCCAACTGTTGGCGGACGGACGGACGGACGCTCGCCGGACCGGACGGACGATCATGCGATTCTACAAGCTGCATCTGACTATGTCAGATGAGCTAAAAACCAAACCGTTTGGCCACGCATGCACCCGTTAATCAACAGCATCAAGACACACATACTTATATACTGATGGGGGGAAACAACCGAGCTACAGAGGTGAATGAGAAAATGCAACAGTATGGCAAACCACTGACGGAATACAACCTCAGCTAATTTGTTGAATCGGAAATGTGGCTATACTATCATGTTGCGACTAGTTACACATCCATCGCAATCTATCTATACTAGGCGGCAGCAATGATGAGCGAAGCAATAAGAGAGTGCTGGTGATAGGTGCAGCTAGCTTCATTGGACTCCACGCCATCAACGCACTGCTGAACCAGAGCGATGTCCACCTGGTGGTAGGACTGGACAACTTCAAAGACCCCTATGACATCACATTGAAACAGGTGCGGATGTTCAAATATTCTTTTCAGGTGGAACCATAACAACTGTATATAAAATAGAATAGAGCAGAAAATCCCCACTCTCTTCTTGGTGAAACGCTCAGAATTTTTCAAGAGAAATCATTTCCAGCTTTGTGAATTCATATGAAAATGGGTTCTCTATATTTATGTACTCTTGTATGTGCGCGCGCGCGCGTGCGTGCGTGCGAGTTGCAATAGTCTGAACACGTACGTACAACTTCTGTCTACTACAGGACAGAGCATACACATCCCACCAGGCGGGAGCGCTCATCTACCATGGTGACGCGTGCCACACCGACCTTCTACAGGAGCTGTTCATAAACCACAGCTTCACGCACGTGATGCACATCGCAGAACAGGGTGACGAAAGGTAAGCAACATACCAGGCAGAGTAATGGAAGGTACAGAACATAAAATCAGGACCGACATACTAGATAAATAGATAGATATATATATATATAATCAACAGCTAATAATACCACTTATTATGTGTGTGTACAGTAAATGCATACATACAAACATATAAATACATCCATATATATATATTATATATTACTATATATTACTATATTACTCCTGATACAAGTACATAGTCTACCCGTAAAATGTGTCATACACACATAGCATCCAGTCAATCTTGATGCGTCTCGTGAGTCCTTGCATTCCACCAGATCTTATTGGTTTTCTTCATCACGTCTTAACGAACCGATTAA